GATAATTAATAATACATATATAATGTACAGAAATGTAGATCAAGCTACTTTTAAATCTTATATTGTATAAGTAACTTCATAAAACTAAGATTGAAAAGTAATTTTCTTAAGAAACATAGAATAATATTAAACGAAAAATTGGATTGTACACATGTATTTCGTATAATACTCATTTAAAAATAATTTTTAAAATAAAAGGGTTGCGAGAGAAATATTACCTCTTATAACTTTTTCAACCTTGGTATCTTTCATAAAAATTTATCACCCCCAATAAAGTAGTATAGAAAATTTTAATTGCAATTATTCTACATTTATGTTCATAAAAAGCGTGTCAAATAGCACATTATTTTCTATTTTTTTTTCAATTCAACTCCCACAACTTTATTTTTTTCATGAAGTGCACACATGAAAGAAATTAATAATTACATAAGAATTATAATTCACATTTAATGTATTAAAAATTTATAGAAAAACTTAAGACTTAAGATTTTACGTTGTTCAACTTTGAATTAATATGTAATAGTCACAAGTTATGTAAAGTCGAATAAAATTTAATTTTATTAAAATGACCTCAAAATTCAGAGAAAATCTATACATTATTTTTAGCAAAAGTTCGTAGCTGTTTATATTTTATTTCAATTAACGTACTAATCTCTCGGCGCATAGTTGACTGGAGCAACTAAAAAAGTAACAAATTTTTTATTAGTTATTACATGCATAGAGGTATATGCACACATTCTGTAGCAATAGGGTGAGTAATCTTTAAAACAAATGCAATCTTTGAAATGAAACAAATTTAATTGAAAGAAATGTTAACGTAATTCCTGAATTTAAGGGTTAATTCAGTTAGTAAAAGAAATTATTTTATTTTTCAATGGCATGTTATTCGCCGTTAGCTTTCTGCATTTATAGAAATTTGGAAAAGCTTACAGTTTCGGAAATCTAAGATGCCAAAAACTCAAATTTTACAAATTTCGAGAGGCGATAACTTGGGAGAGGTAAATTTTAACGACTATTTTTTTTTTAACTTCAATTATCGTATGCTATACGACACAAAAAGTAAGCTACTATGCTTGAAAAATGCTTGTTGTTTTCCTGCAATAAATGGCTAAAAAATGGCATTTTTTTGGTTTTGGAGGCTATAACTTTTAGTGGGTCCCCCCTCTAAATAGATAAAAATTTTCTTCTACGAAAGTAAGTTTCTGGTAAAGATCTATGTACATATGAAATTTAAGCTTTGTAATTTCAAGAGTGTAGAAGTTTTGTAAATATGACCATGGACAAATAGATGGAATGGAACTAATAAACACTTTTTTCAAAATTTTTTTTGGAAAGTGCTTAAAACTACTTAACGAGAATATGAAAATGTGTGCCAAGACTCATTCGTATTTCAAAAATTATTTAATATTTCCAATACAAAAAATTTGAATCTAAAAATTTTATTTTATTATACAAATTCCAAAATATTCAACTTTTATAGAGCAATTTAATTTCCTTATAAAAAAGCATATTGTTTAACTTGTCACAATAAAAAATCCAAAAATAAATCAAAAGTTAAAAAAAAATGTTTTATTTTCGTTTTGCCTCTGTGTTTGGCAAAAAGTTTGTAGTATCCTAAGCATGAAAATATTTTCAATTTGTAAATATTTTTTTATTTCTTTGTTTTTCTGCCTTACGCAATATGTTAAATATGTATTTTTTGAATCTATATGTATTTACATATGTAAAATATGTATTTACATCAAATTAAGTTAAGTGAAAATGTACATCAATTTAATTTGACTTAATTTATAAATTCAATTTAATTTAGTTGAGAAAAAAATTCATCTTCAAGCCTAAACAAATAAAAATCAAGAAAAAATAGCAAGAAGAAATTTATGTATGTAGATGATAGGAGCACATGTTCTTCATTTTGATTTCAAGAAAATAATATAAAAATTATATTGTTTAAAGTTATATCGGCAATCTCTAGGATAGCACCATAGATAATTTGATATTGTACAATTCTGCTTGTGCAATAATTTATATATGTACGTATTGAATTTGTAATTGAAAGAAGTGAAAAATAAATATTATCATTGTGTGTATAGTTTATAGTGATATACAGAAAGCGATTTTTGTAAATACACAATAGAACTACGTTTTTGAGCGATCCTACAATTATTGTACATTCTATATAGTCCAAATTTGTTCTTAAAAAATATTTATTTTGTTTTTATCAAAATTTTGATATTTTGTATAAGATTTTTCTTTAATTCAATTATTTTTAATAATTTAATGTTGTTTTCAAGCTGGCTCCGCCATAATTCAATTCCAAAATGCAATCTCGGAAAATGCAGATTATTTGTTTAATAGAGACTTGGCCATTCCAATATAAAGAGCAAAATATCCAGAAACTCACCATAATTTTATCATAAAATGTCTTACTAATTTACTGACCGATTCAATATTTTGTGCAATCTCCTCAATTTTCTTAAGTAAATTTTAAAATGATACAAAAAATTGTAATTATATATTTTGAATGAATACAAGAAAAATTTGTTATTTTATAAAAACAAATCTGATTTCATTTAAGTTATAAATGTTAATAAAATGCGGGTCGAATATATTGTAAATAAAAAAAAAACAAAAAAAAACACTACTAATTCAAGTAACACAGGATACAAACCGCAACAAAAAAATAAAATTATTTCTGTATTATATTATTGTTGGTGTATGATTGCATGTGTTGTATAAAATATAAAATTATTCAACTCTGCCGAGTAAAAGCATTTATTCCTACCACCTTCTCTTTTTTTGCTACAACGATATAAAACAACAAAGGTAGAAATTTACTTACTGAGATTTTTGTTTTGCATAGTTTTTGTTTTTTTTTTTGGAACAGACAATTTACATACAAAGCTTTAAAAAAAAAAATAACTTCAAGACGTTCAAACAAAATTAAAATAATCAGCATTCAGTTTCAATGTTCAGTTTGTAACAGTGACTTCTCATGAAGGGTTTCATTGAATGTTTTATCAGGAGAAACAAATCAGTTCTTATTTTCATAAGAATATTTTTATTTTAAATATTCTATCACTTTTTAATATTTGATTATAATTTTGAAGTTCAATATTACCATCTACTAATTTCGTACCGTTCTATACAACTTTAGAATTACTTTATATACCTAGTTCTAGTCTATATTGCATCAAGCCCATTCCACTTTTTCAATATAATATCTAACTTGTTTAAAATATATGCACTTAACTCAACATCCACAGATGGTTGGTTTGTCATCATAGTGAGAACACTTTTCGAACAATTTACAATAGTTTATTTTTTTTGGCTGGTTTTATGTTTAAAACTCAAACATAACCAAAGTTTATTTTCTACATGCTTTAAAATATTGCAGAAAGCTTCACTAACAAAGCTACAGTATTCACTGTATTCAAAATATTAATATTTTTTTAAATGAAAAAACTTTTCCCACCATTTTTGATGTTTTGGCACAGTATTTTTACGAATTTACACATTATGCATAATATTGTGACTGAAATTACAACACAATGTAAAGAGTAAAGGCAAAGAAATATGCAATTGCGATACGCTAAAACAGCTAATTCACATAATTATATGTAATATTAAGTAAGAACCAAAAACATCAATAATCGAGACTCGAAAAATATTTCTTCCTAATAGTACGCAATAATTTCAACTTATAAAATTGAAACACACTTAAGATTTTCAAATAAAGTAAAAATAATAATGGTCAAAAAAATTATTGATGTGTTTTAATAAACTTTCAATTATACCATATAAATGTGTGGAGCAACGCAAATGAATATTTTTCCATTTTGTGATGTGATTTTTATTTAATCTTCATTGCTGTTTCGTTTACTCCGCTAAAAAACAAGTCAAATCTAAATCTAAAAAGGCATAAGGATACCAGTAACATCAGCAAAAAACAGTAAATATTTACTTTTATATCCTGTACACAAAATAAAAAAAGAATCATTTCTTTTCTTCGTATTCTTCTGTTTTTGTTATTGTTATCATTGTTTTTGTTATTTGTTGCTTTCCGTTATGGTTACATTAAGTCACTTGTTTTTATCCTTGAATATGAAATTTATATACAATTGTACAAACATATATGTATCTTTTACATTTTTGCCTTCATATCATAAAACAAATTAGAAATGTTACCATGCTTAAGAATACCACACAATTCTTATATATGAGAATAAATTTACTAGCATTGTTTTCAGTTTCTACAATATTATATTATATTTACATACATACATAACTATATATTTAATGATAATATTAAAAAGGATATGTGGTGTGGTTTTCTTTTTGTTGCCAAAATTAGGTATATGGGTGAAATTTAAAATATTAAATTTTGTGTTTTTTAAAAATTTGAGTGTATATTTAAAGATATAAAAATGAATTTTTATTATTAGGCTTCCTTTTTACATGCAAAACATTGTATTTATGTATGTGTATGTAGATTCATTCAAAATATATGTACATTATAGTTGTAATGAAAATAATATACATTAAAATTGAACGAATTAATTTAACGTTGATATTCTTGTTTGCTTATACAATTATTGTGTGCAAAGGAGGAAGTTTTTGAGAAAATCTCAGCTTTTAAAAGTGTTAATTTCTTTAAGAAAAGTTTTTTACCCAAATTATCGTTACTCATAAATGTTTGTGGTTTCTAAGGTTTAAATTTTTCTCTTATTTTACAATTGATATGATGTGGATTAGGATTTGTCATTCAAAAATTTTTTTAAAGTTGGACTTGTATTAAAATAATAATTTTAATTTTCTTTGTATAATGATGAATTAAAAAAAAATAAAATGATTTAAAATCATATTAAAATTGGATTATTATAATATTGTGTTTAGTTGGGCCAAAACTTTTCATTTAGTGACATTTTCATAATTATAGGTTTAATTTAGAATCTAATAAAAAAATTAAAATTATGAATTCTAAATCAATTAATCCAACTTACCTCATCTTGTAATGGAATTCTGGGTAAGGGTCGCCTTTTTGCCTCCAAATATTTTTTAGCTAATTCAGTACCACAATTAGTTGGCGTTCTTATACGATCTGATGATATAACAGAATTTATATCTGTTGTTGTATTACAATCACTATAATTCTTTTGTTCATTATTAAATTGTTTTTTATTGTCATCGTTATTACTGATACAGTTACCATCCTTATAAATATTTAAGGAAGGATTAGTTTGTGGTATTCCAATGATATTTAATTGTTGAATTAAACCATTTACATTGCTATTATTTTTGTTTAAATTTTCAATATTGTCATTACATAAATTATTTACTTTATCTTCAATATTGTTCGTATTATTCGTATAAATAATATTATTATTAAAAGGTCGTTGTGTATTAGATATTGGAAAATTTGAAAAATTATCATTAGTCTTTGATGGTGATAAAATTCCAGGTGAATTAATTCTCATAAAATTTGTTGAATGTTGAAATTCAAGATTGTTCGGTTGAAAAGAATATTCTGGATACTTGAAGGATTGATCATTTGAAAAATTTCGTTGTCTATTAAAAGTTTCATCGATATTTTGATAATACTGAAAGTGAAATAAAAAAAAAACAAGAATTTGTTTTAAAATTTAATAAAATAAAATGGTTTAAATTTTTTATATATTTTGCTATAAGTGTTGGTAAAAGCCTAGTAAAAATAGTACTTTTTTCTTTAAAATTTTTTGTCAACAACTCATATTTCTAGAGATTAAGCAAATACAGTCTTTGAATGAATCTTAATTTAAAAATTCTAAAAATATCTTACTGCAAGAAAGTTTTACTAAAGGTACCTTTTGAATAAGAGGAAAATTTCGGCAATAATATTGAGTTTAGGAGAAGGAGAAAAAGAGGCTGAAGAATATAAGCAAATAAATAGACAAATAGAAAACTAAGAAGTACATTTTGATGTCATAAGATCGACGTCATAAGATTTTTAGACTTAAGCACATTTTGATATCATAAGATGTCATAAGATTTTGTCAACGTATTGTTATGAATATTGCAACACACAAGCATATGGCTAAATCCCTAATATTCGTAAAAAATATAGACATCAATTAAAATTTTAAAATTCATTCACAATACCTTGGCTAACACGAAAAATTTTGAATTGAAAACTTAAATTGGTAAATATTTTTACATAATGTACTGCAATAATATTTTTGCCGTCGCTATATTTGAGATGAAATAGAAAATTCAAACAATAATTACTGTTAACAATAACATCAACATTATAAAATACAGAAAAAAACTCTATGTCAAATTATAATAATAATACTAATTTTCACATATTACTTATATAATATGTGCTTATTAATATGTGCCCCCCAAAAAAATTATGAACCTAAAAATATTATTAACCGAAATATAGAAATAGAAACTATAAATGAAAATTCTTTTTTATTTTCATTTTATTGTCTACGATTTCATTTACATTTTAGTAAGTTACGTTATGGCTGCTTCGATATGTTATAGTACGAGGATGTGAGCCTAAAGAAAAAAAAATTTTTTTTTAATGTTCATCTTTTCTTACCATTTCACTGTCATCATCCCTATTATCAATATCAATATTATTATTATCCTGTTCTATTTCATTTCTATCGTTATCGCTGTATTTTTGTTTAGTCGCTTTATTATTAAATTTACTATTACAACTATTGTTGCCTTCATCTTTTATTATCATCCTTTCGTTTTCCATAGCTTCTGAAATCTTTTGTTTTTCTTTGTATTGTGACTTTTTCAATTGCCAAAAATTTTCATTTACTTTATACCATCTAATATGATTATTACTTATATCATCAATATCATCATCATCATCAATATCATCATCATTATGATCAATAATATTATCAATATTATTGATAGTATTTTGTTCGTTTGTTGAACTTTTGATACTAAAATTCGGAATATTATTGTTTTCGTTTCTTTGGTTATTCATTTGATTTTTTTCAATTTCGTTTTTAAGTTGTTTTACTCTTGAAGAAGACGATGATATTGCTGATGTTGAAGCTGAAACTGAATCTGTAACTGATGGTGATAATGTTGTGGTATCTTTGAATGATGAAAAATTTTGTACTTGTGTTGTCATCATTTTCATATCGGAAATAAATTTATTATTATTTTTTTTGTTATTTCGTTTTTGAAAACTATTTGCAGCCATATTACGGCACATATTTTTATAGTTTTCTTGATTAAAACTCGTATATAATTTAATATCAGGATCGGTAGGAGTTTTTATTGCTTCAATTTTAGATTTTGTTTTTATATCCACATCACATTTTTGTTGTTGTTGCTGTTGTTGTATTTTTACATTCCTTTGAACAGGCATTAAATTTAAATCATTTTCGAATGCCCCAATTTTTAATGTTTCCATTTCAATACCATTTTCATATAAATCTGTTCTATTGTAATAATTTGGTGGCTGTGTTGGTAATTTTTCGTTATGTGGTTGACGTCTTTTCATAATATTATCATTATTTTCATTCATTTTACTATCTACCATATCTATAGGATTATTATAGAACAAATTAGGGCTATTTGAATATGATGTTGATGTTGATGAAAACCAAAATACACCATTCCTTTTTCTATTATTTAAAGAATTGTTTTCAGATATTGTTTGATTCTGTTGTAATTTACGTTGTAAATTTTGACTAACCTCATAACAGGCATCTGAAGCTGATGGTATTGGTAAGTCAAATTCATTTTTAAATTTTAAATTTTCATGTTGATCACGTCTTTTAGTACTATCATTACTATAACTCTGGTTTTCTTTTTCATTCCAATAATGTCTACGTAAATTTTTCTCATCAAAAAATTCTTTTGTAAAATTATCATTTGCATCGTTATCAATATTAGTCACATTGTTCTCTACACGAGATTTAGGCATATGCGATAAAAATCCAGATGATTCTTTAATATTTAATGGTGTTGGTCTTTTAAATAATGAAATTTCTTCTGACGGAGCTAATATCGTTTTAATTGGTAGTCGATTTTGTTGTAATGTAAATGATTTTTTCTTTTTTTGATTAAATTTTTTAACAATTGAATTAGAAGAGCTTAGAAGATTGCATGGTTGTTGTTGTTGTCGAATATTTTGCTGTTCTTGATGATGATAATTTTGTAATTGTTGCTTTTTACCATTATCACACAAAATATATGAGTTTTGCTGAAATTCAGTATTAGGTAAAATGAACATTTCATCTTGACTAGACAATAGAGTATTTGGTATCCTAGTGAGGATTTTTTTCATTCTATGTCCCTGAGGTCGGCCATCATTTACACTTTTACTTAGTTCAGTCACATAATTATTATCATTTCTTTTATTAATCCGAATATTATAATTTTTAATATCATTATTATTATTATGTTTTTCATTGTGAAAATTTTGACGTCTCCTCAAATTATACCAATCATCTTTAAGTTGTTTGACTTTAAGATTAGAATCACTACCATACTTATTTTCTTCAGAACAAATTTCACGCTTTCCTCTTAAATTATTTATTGAAAAATTCTGATGAACTCTGCGTGTTTCTATTAAAACAAGAACAAAAAACAAGCAAGAGTAAATATATTATATAGAGTGGTTAAAAAAGTTCAATAAAGTTAATTTCAACTACGGAAATTAAATTTAAGCGGAAGTTACAGTGGAATTAGTTACTTTTAGTTTAAATTTAGATATTTTTATATTAAAACCGGATATGCTTATATACACATTATATAATATATTAAAGAAAGACACGTTTTTAATAAGTATTTATTATAAGAATACTATTAATATATAAGGACAAAATGATTTTTCTATTACATTTAAATTTAACCTTTGTATTTTCTATCTAACCATTGACAGGATTTAAGTAAAATGAATTGTTAGAAAATTTACTTACAAAATATATTTTGATTTTCTTTTATTAAAAGAAACAAAAAAGTTTATTATAGGGATTTTAAGGATTTCCATAAAGATTTTTCGTTTAAATAAATATTATAGAAAATTCAATTTAGGAATTTAAAGAATTTGTAAAGAAAAACTTTAAATTATTTTTAGAAAACTTATTTTAATGAAAATTTTTCATTTTGAACAAAAAATTATTTTATTTCGTTTTCTTGATAGGATTAAGACTTTGAAATAGTTTTATTGATTTCTAACAAAAAGAATTTCTTTAAAAGGATCTAGGAACTTTAATTATTTGCTGACGTACTTAATTTCTAATTTCTGAAGAAAATATTTAAATAGATAAACTTTTAAATTTTAGGACTTTATAGAAGTTTTAAATAAATTTTTCAAAAATCAGAGCCGCGCAGTTTGAATACCGTAAGAATACAAAATTTAAAAATGAATATTTTTTTAATGTTTAATACAATAATTGTTAACTTTGAGATTGAAGATGTATTTTCAATTGAAAAATATTCTGAGTTCAATTAGAAATTTAGACAATTTTTAAGAATGACATATGTTAAAATTAAAAATTTAATTAATATATGTATGTACTTACCTTCGTGTGGTGGATAAGGTAATTTTACACCAATATTATTTAAATTATCCGAAATTCTTAATTTTTCCAAGGCTACATCATATCGATCCAAAGATTCATAACTATCTGACGAATGATGTACCATTGAATTTTCATCTGAAAAAATTAAACAAAGAAATCAACTAAACTAATGGAATTTCACTTAAATAATAAATTTATTTTGTAGAATATTTATTTATAATGTAAGACAGAGCTAAAGTGCTTAAAATGTCTTTAATATAGAGTTCTTAATAATTTCTCTTGCAGCGATGAACTAAAAATGATAAAAACTTTCGTATAATTTATTCATTTCTATAAGAAAATTTTAACATACAACATTTTAGAATCGCAAATCATATATAGATTTTTTTTATAAAAATAACTATGAATCGGAATCGAATGACCTACATAACACTTTCCACATATGTATACCCATAAATTAAAATATTATTATTACTAATCCGTCAACGTTTATGGTAAGTTTTAATTTTTAACAATGCAAGAATAAAAATATTTAATGCGTTTGTAGATTTATTATATAATTCACCACCAAAATAGAAGTCCAAATTGCATTTTTTTTTGTTATTGTTCAAATATAAACCTGTGACTGTATTTGTTCGATTGTAACAATTACTCACTAAAGAAAGAATTATTGTATTTAATGCACTTTGATTTTGTGTCAAATTTTGCAAATTATTATAATTTTTTCTTTTTATTTTGTTTAACCACATATTTGAAAATCAAAAAAAAAAAAAAAAACGAAATCGTTGCTATTAAAAATTCAAACCACATTATTTTCTATTAAAATTTATAAATAATGAGATTTCGCCACAATTTCCAACTACAGTAAACAAAAAGAACAACACAAAAATAAGTAGATTTCAAGTGAGGTAAATTAGAATCCGGTCATCACAACATGATGAATTTTTATTCATTTGTTGTTGTTTGTACAAAAATTTATATTCGTACAAGCAAATGTGTATATTTCATACATCCTCAATACTATAATTGGAGAATAAATGACTTGTGAAACAGAATAAAATTTTAAAAGAACTAAATTGAAATTTACTGTGCGGCACTTATGTTTCAGAAAAACTGCACCTTGATAGGAAAATATGAGGCAGTAAATATTTTCAATTTTAGATATGAAAGCCAGGTTAGGGTGATTTATCTGCCAACAATAATATTATCATGAAAATTCATGTGGCAACATTTTCTATAAAATTTTTTATAAGAATTACACGAATTATTTCAATATTCTTTGTTTGTAATTAAGAATTAGAAATAAATTCTAAAGCAAATATTCCATCGGTAACAATAGTCTACACTTAAAATGTACTTTAAAACTTATTTTAATCACAATACGTAATAAGGCCGAAAAATCGTGGAAACTAAACTATTTTAAAACTCTTTTAAAAGGACATAACGCGTTTATCAAGTGAACGTTACTTATCATAGTTCTAGCCTATGTTATTACTTTTATTTAATGAATTTTACAGAAACTGCAAAAAAAAAATTTTGTTATATTTATATTTGTTTACAAAAAGTTTATTTCATGTTCCGGTTAAAATTTCAATTTTTTTTTGCAATCGTAAAATATTTCATTCTTCTCTTTGCCATTACATACATAACTACTTTGTTTTTACATCTTATTTAAATTATAATACAATGTAAATGAAAAATATTTATAAATTTTCAATTTATTCGAATAAACATTTAAAATTGGATTTAAAATACAATCAATATGAAATGGATCAATATTTTAATTAAATATTTCAATTTAATTATTCTATTCTTATAATGAATTAGTGCACATTATTTATCTTTCAAAAAATTATCTGACACCTATGATTCTCAATGATTTCAATTATTTAAACTGGCATCCTTAATACAATTTAATTGTGAAATTACTTAAACCTTAAATGTTTGTGTCCATATGCGCCGCAAACTTGTGTCTATGTGAAAAAGCAGTACGTCACCAAATTGTGATATCAAATAACTAGCGGTTTCTGGATTTTACCTTATGTATATAAAATTTTTTATGTTTATACATACATTGCAGCTATTGAAAATTTACTGGCATTATGAGTGTTTTTAAGAGTAAAATGAACTTTCTGCATTAACAGTAAGCACATATCAAATTGATATTGTGCTAATTCGCGGCGAGGTTCTATTAAAAATATTTCATTGTTTTTTCTAGTGAATATGTCATGAGAATCACAAACTACTGCAGCAGATTGCTTTGACAAAGAGGAGGAGGAGACATTGGCTGGTCTACTGTTTTTATGGCCGGATTTAGTGAGAAGCAGACATAGATTCCTTGGGTCGTATTATTTTGTTGAATTATATAATAAATATATTAAAAAAACAATTTTTTTTATTCCCACCAATTGTCGAAAAAAGGTGGTTCTTGGTTTTCGCAAAAAGTGTTAAACAACTTTTACAAATATGCGTTTAAAAAAATTTGAATTTTACTTTTACTTTCAAATTTAAAATTTAATTTTATTATTTCAATTCAACTCAAATCAAATTAAAATTCAGTAAGTCAAACTAAATTTAAAAACAAAAATTAACAGTTTAAGAAATACTCAATTTTCTGTGAAATCAAAAGGACAACCTATTATTTTAAAAATTGCGTTGGTTTCTGCTACATGACAAACATAAAATTACAATATTTATTTGAATTAATCGAATGTACACAAAATTTATAATAAATATTTAAAAACAAAAAAAAATTTATTGATTTATTAAAATTGCAAAAAAAAAAAGAAAAACAAAAGTTTTATTATAATTTTGATCGTCATAATTTTCTGAAAATAACTCCCTTTCTTTGAATTAATTTTATTTCAATATTATTAGAATTTACAAGCATAGGCTACAAATATTTACAGTTCGACAAAGCATAAAAATAGGAACAAAAACAAAAATTTCCCTGCCTATAGAATTTAATTTTCATTTATTTTAGAATTTTCCCTATCTTTTTTTTAATTCGTTTCGAGTCATAACCCAAGAAATGCCATTTAAAAAATAAAAGTATAAAAAATGTCAAAATTTGATATTTGGAATTTAATACTACTTACTAAATACAAAGTTACATACCAGACCCTATCTACATGTATATCTAATTCAGGAAGTAAAAAATAAAAGTATATAAGAACTTATATTGCAATATTGTGTACAAGAGGAATGTGGGACGTTGTGTATAAGAGGTTAAAAAGGACATGCTTTTGGTAAAGAAAATTTAATGAGGATACTTTTTTTAATTAGAACATCTGGAACATTTCAAATATAAAAATTTTATTGAAATTTTAGATAGAAGAGAAAAATATTTTAAATATAGGAAAAATGTTATTATAAAAACGTGTTGAGAAAAGCATGTTCAATAAATATAAAAAACTAATTTTTTTGATAAAGAAATTGAAGAAAAATAATCAATTAGGATTGCCAATTGCAAAAAACAACATTTTTATCAAGAATAGGTTTAATTTTTTAAGATCGGATAGAATAGATTAAGTTTTACCTGCTGCTAAATTATTCAATGAGATTTAAGAAAAATAATTAAAATTCAAGTTTCAACGTGCTTAATTCGAAATAATAAAACTCCACAATAATTTCGGGATATTGGCAAACTTTAATGGCATAATATTTCAATTCAATAAACATAAATTTAGAATATTTTTCAAATCTAGCTAAATTTTTCATAAAAAATAATTGCTTTCTCCTGAAAGTATGCTAAATTTTCAAAAACAATATTGCTTTATTATATTATTATTGTGAGAATTCCAAAATTATGAATTAGAGTCATTTTCAGTATTAATGTTTATCTGAAGAGATTAAAATTTTTTCCTCCCCCCATTTCTACCGAATTATCACAGTATCGTGAATATAAAAAAAGCAAGAATAAAGAAATATTATTATCTTTTTATAGCTTACTCTAATACTAATCTTTTGTAAAATATTCAGTTAGTACCATACACTTTAGATTCTCTGGAAGATGAAGTCATTTCTACACTGTTTTTACATATATACATATATATATATATAATAATATATGACATAAGCTTTTATAATTTTATTATTAATAGGGTGTTCATTCAATTGAAAAGATATTCAAAAATTAATTTTTCAAGCATAAGTAACCTCGAATTTCGCAGATATGAGCAAAATTATATTTAAAATGCGTATTAAATCAAATGCGTTACAATGAAAGTTTTAAAATTTGTAGTCAATTTTGTTCTCAAGGAACATGTATTGGTAATAATATGTCTATAATTTTTAAATAATAATATTAAATAGTAATTTCAGAAACGTTGCTTTGCTCAATTTTTGTGTAAGTCCACAAAAGGAAGTTGCTTTGTTCTATTGGTTCAGTCGCAATAAAATTATCGTTTCTTGTTGGTGTAGTGAAATTTAATATGAAAAGCACTTTTAATCTGAATTACGTCACAATTATTTCAAAAGTAGTCTCTGTTCTACAATAAAATTTATTGATTGATCAAATGCATGAAAAAATAATCATTGTACAGTTGTTATTCGTTCTTCTTACTAGTCCTCATTAAAAAATTAGGGCACAATTCTTATATATAGATAACGAGTAAATATAGTTGCATAATATTTTTCATAATTTTATTATAACGAAAGTGCAATTCATATAAAATCCATTTAATTAAATTCTTAGTATAAATTAAAATATTCTATAATATCCGCTAAAATTAATGATCACAAATTAAATTTTAACTATTTACTGTTAAGATTATTTCATTCATTTAGTAAAGAATGACTAAATCCGATTAATTCATAAAACAAAGCGCGTTTTTTTGCAATAAAAAAAAAAAGAGGAGATAAAAATAAAAGAACATTAAAATTTTAGACACAATAGTTAAATATACATACATATACATATTACATGAAAGTATAGCATAAGTCATCATATTTTAATTAATTTGAATCCTTTTTCCTTTTTATTTCCTTTTTGATTCTTTCTTTCCATTGAAAAGAATAAAAATTTTTATCTAACGAAATTTAAACAAAACCAGTTTTTTTTTTACTACCGTAAGAAAAATATTTTTGAGGTGGTGTATAAAAAATTTTTTTCTCCATTTTAGAATGTCAAAAAATTTTTAACATTTTGAAACAAGAATTCCAGTACATAGGGTATTTGCATGTTTGGAATAAAACAAAAATCGGCTTGCTTGCTGAACACTGCCTACTTGCACAAATAGGTTTTGCTATTGAAAGAGCCAAGGACTTTTTTTGTAAAGTGATCAAAATATGCAGTGATGGTAAAAATCCTAAAATCTTAAGAAATCAATAAAAGCCATTTTTGATACTTCAGTTATTAAAATTAAAACTGTAAAGGTTTGAATCATTTATGAATTTAATTTCCACATAGAGCCATACAGCCTTTAAAGGTTTGTAGCTCAACATTAAGAACTGCAATATCGAAAAATTCTGTAAAAATAATTAAATTTTTATAATGTTGTTCGAAAGATCTCCAATTTCTGTTACTCAAGTCTTAAATTCATTAGACAACTTTTTAAATTTAAATGCAATTTGTCAGACTACATTACTTAAAATAATGCTGTTGATAGTTGGCATTGATATTACACCCAAATTCAATGTATTATTTGAATAAAAGTTTTTACTTCAGATGCAAAACGAAAAAAAGAATGGAAAAAATTATGTACAAAAAACTTTTATAATTTCAAAATTCAAATGAAGAACAAAAATGAAAACGAATGTTATTTCATTACTCTAAAATCATTTTCCATTCTTTGTTTCAAACTCTGATTTCGTTTTTTCATTTCTCTATGATTTCTTTTTTTTTTTATAATTCCCAAATTTCCGCAGATAAGTCTTTTACGACTTTTATAGATATGATGAAACTAGGAAACTATTTTAAATTTAGCCATTACAATATACAATACATATTCAATACTACGTATACAAATAAGTATGCAGAAGTTGGAAAAATCTCAATTCTTCATCTGTATCTCTATACATATTATTAAATATAAATACATACATGTGTATGAACAAGACTAACTTGGAAAAAAAACTGACATATGCTTAAATATTACGTGGAATGTTGAGAAAGGATACAAAGGATAAAGAACTAAAGAAACAAAGATGAAAGGAATTGAAATAAAAGAAAAAAATTTTGCACGCTAAAGAAAAATTGTTATCTCTGAAGGAACACAAAAAATTTTACTATGAAGATTTATTTTTTCTTTTACTATATCTTTACATTTGCTCCAAAACTTTAAAATGGAAAAATTAAAATCCATTAAATTTAAGATTGATATTTCCTTATATTAGATCAGCATACTATCTATTAAAGGATTTCATCAGAAAAATGAAATGCAATTCCAGGAATTTATTTTTAAAGACTCAATAGTTATAAGTTAAAATTGAACTGTTGAATTTTCCAAAAAAAGAAGCAAAATAGTTTTCTCACTGCTCCACCACGGTGAAATGCGTTTCTGCGTCATTTCTGAAATGCAGCAAAAATTTTATGTGCAAGTACTTCCCTATCGTATGCAATACGGCCGCTAAAAGTTATAACAAACAACCTTATTTATAATCAATTTTAATATCATAACTAACAATGCATATTATATATTTGTGCCAATAATTACATTTTGATTTCATAATACCAAAACGAATAAACCTATAGAATATACATTTTCTACACTGTAAAATTTCTCTATCTAGATAGGCATATTCAAATCATTTTCCATCAAATAAATGTCGAATGGAAGTGATTGCTGACAGCAAAAGAATCAACTATTCAAGATAATTGTTTTACCATGTTTTCTATATCTGTTATTTCTTGTGTAGTATTGTGCAACATAAAGTTACTATACTACCTTATTGCATTAACATCATGTGACAAAATGCATTAAATATTATTCTGCATGTACAAAAACAATAAAAAAAAAGCAATAAAAATATAAATAGAAAAGAGCCTAAAGAGATGCAAAAAAAAAAAACTTCATTTAAAATACATGTCAATACAATTATATAATATGTTTATGATTTGGCACAATATCATTTAATAAGGAACTATTAACATCGTTTTTGAAATTTTGCCTCGCAGGTTGTAACATATCATTTAGCAGGAAGATTTTTTATATACGTCCCAAAAGAATTAGAATTTTGTTTTTTTTTATTTTTCCTAATAACATGAAAAACTAACACTGTTTAAAAGAGTGTTGATATTATTTTATATAAGGATAAAATGCATTCACATAAGGAAATAAATGATAAGGATACTGACATGAATAATACCTTTGTATAATGTGTGAGTTTCGCTTAGATTATTTTTTTATGTCAAAATTTCCATGTTATGTTATTAACAGGATATGTTAAAAGTGTATTAGAGATTATTGTGAATTTCCTAGATGCTATAATGAATGTAAATAGAGTTAGTTATTTAAAGTGACAGTTTAGTAAATAATTTATTTCCGCATAAACTGAATTATTAATAGCTTTATTTTGCTATATGCCTATGTAACATTACAAAAACATTCTGTATCACTCTCAACAAATGCTCAAAGGCGTAATAGAGAATAACAATGAATTATTGTTATCCTTTTAATTCCTGTTTAATGTTTAATGATAATTGTTGATGAATTTTGCTTAGAAAATATTAAGTATGTTGTGCAACATTTTTTACATATATACAGGTTATATCATACTACACATTCATATGTGTATTTTTATAATTATATTTTTACAAAACACAGGCATTATTTTTATCTAATACATAAAAATATGCCGTGCATTGACTTGAATATTATATAAACTTATTTCTTTAACCCTATACTTGAATCTAATTTTTAGCACTTTTCCAAAAAAATTTTTAAAAAAAGTGGTTATTAGTTTCACTCTGTCCGTCCGTCCGTCCGTCCGTGGACACTTTTTTTGTTTATAAAACTTCTACACCCTTAAAGATAAAAAGCTGAAATTTTGTATGTACATATATCTTTACTAGAAACTTATTTCCGTAGAACAAAATTTTTACCTATCTCCCCCCCTCTAGAAGTTATACTCCCTTAAAACCCTAAAAATGGCCTTTTTTAACTATTTGTTGCATTGAAACCATAAGCATTTTTGAAATTTTGCAAACGCAAAAAGGCAGTGGCTTGCTTCCCCTAGCGCGGTATACTATAGTTAAACTTTAGAAAAACAAAATGGCCGTTCAAATTTACCGTTATCTAAAGTCCTTTTTTTTCCAAATTTTTGATATCGTTTTTCTTCTAGACCCCAGCCTGTAGGAGCTTGAAATTTTAGAGACTTTTAGACATTAACAAATAATTCATTTTGTTAGAAGAAAATTTTTTTCCATCTCCACCCCCTCTCAAGTTATCGCCTCTTGAAATTTGTAAAATTTGAATTTTTGACGCCGTATATTTCCGAAACCGCAAGCTTTTTCAAATTTCTATAAAAACAAGAAGCTAGCGGTAAATTCCATGTCATTAAAAAATGTAATTATTTTTCTTAACTTACACAATTAACCCTTAAAATCGTGCATTATGTTAACCCCTCTTTATATTAATTTTTGCTTTATTTCAAAGACTGCATAAATCGTTCATCCTAAATGTATGCAATCCTAGAAATAGCTTTGTATATGAATGAAAATAATTTTAATAGTGTGATTTTCACTTGTTGAAGGTAAAAGTGCTACAATACAAACCATTTGTTTGACCCAATTTTATACTTACAGATTTGATGAATTGGTGACGGAGGGCTCGAAAATGTTCCACCACTGCTTACTGAATCAAGTAAAGCGTTTAAACTTAATGCATCATTTGATGTATAGAACAACTCTGGTGTCGCATTAAAATGGCTAATTTTTTTCTGAAATAAAAGAAAATTATTTTTTTTTATTTTTTAAACTTTTATTGAGAAACGAAGTAGTTGCAATTTAAAAAAAACTCGTTCTCCTATACCATAAAATTGTACAAAGATTTTAAAGTTTGAGTTATAGCCAATAAGATTTTTTACAATATTCTTAGAAAACCAATATGGTTAAGTAAGTGTTTAACACATTATTGATTAAGTTTAATTCCATTTTTATTGAATATTAAAAATCACACATGAATGTGTGTAAATGTGTTAATATCATCTAAAAAATTCATTGGTTCAGGGGTTACTTTTGATTATCCATTCCATAATTACATATTAAGATTTTAGAGTGGAAAAATATGGCACTCATTTTTAACTAACACAAAAACAATGATTCCGCGCGCAATTTTGATAATTTAATTGCCATGAAAAATATTTCATACTTTATTTTGGAGGGTATTAAGGTAAACAAAACAACTAGGATATTTTTATACACGTCAGTGAAAGAATATAGAAGATCTCCTTAAACTAAATTATGGCAAGTGCATTTTTATATACATCTTCTTTTAAATATAAAATATTATTTAATTTATGTTTGGTTGTGTACTTTCTTGTGCTACACAATTTTATACTTTTCTATATATTGTTAATTTTTCCACAAACAATTAAAGAACTATATCGCAGCCCTTTAGAAATAAAGTGTCAATGTTCTTGTGCAGCAACATCAAGAAGCAGGTATAATTCTGGCTTCAAAAAGAATACATATAAACCTTAAAAAGAAAATTAGTGACATACAAAAAACAAAATACAAAAAAAAAATATCAGTAGAGTTTTTTCCATTCTAGTACTATCAAATTTTATCAAAACAATTTATAGATAGTCAAATGGGAGTCGCTTTAACATTTTGTTAATTAAAAGACAGTCCACGTTAAATTTTTTACATATCGGATACTCGCATACTTGAACTTGTATTTATTTCGCATACTTGAAATATTGAGCCAAATTTTGTCAATGAAGTCATGATGGACGCAATATTTTTTAATAATACAACAAAAAGAAAAAAAAAACAAAAGAAAAAAATTATTATAGCCTTGTCATTTCCAGTTGCTTCATTGTTATATTGAACTGATTTCTATGCTACTTTAATAAATTCACAGGAACAAGGAAAATTTTGAACAATACAAATAATTTATCGTTTTCAAAATTATTACAAATTTTCTTGGACTTTTAATGCATTACAATATTTACAGAGAATAATTTTGTACTTCCTTATCAACGTAATAAATACACGTACGTATGTATAAACTATGCAAGGACAATGCAAAATTTGAAATTTCTCAATAATATTAGAATCGGCAATTTATGCTGATATAGATGTGGAAAGCTTTATATTGAAAATCCTGCCTACAAACTAAATGTAAGATTTATTTTATTCGACAAAATAGGCTGAGAAATCAAACATAAAGGCATTAGCACACTAAACAATGAAAAACGGAGGTTTGTCATCTGGATATAACAAAACAATTTTACAACACTATATTATTGTTATATAACAATTATAATACGATGGTGAAGAAATGAACACGTATACATGTAACACCAACCATGGACTATTATTATTAGTGCTATTTCTTTGTGCAAAATGCGAATGTGTACATGTGTTGATATTTGACTTTTGAAATAAACAAAAGTTAAACAACAAGATAATAAAAGGAACGATAAATAGAACAATAGATCAAGCAATGTACGTACGTATGTGTATAAGTATGAATATAAGTACTTTAAGGTAGTAAATGTATGAATTTATAAGGATAATAAATTTATACCTATAATAAATTTCCTCTCAATTGAATTTTCTGAAAGAAGTTCTGATGACACCGAGAATATTAAATTTCACACAAAAAAAAAACAGCAAAATAATAATAATAATAAAATTCTACAACCTATCTAATAAATATGAATGTATATAGGTTTGTGTCCTTACTCTGCACTACCCGAAATTTTATGGCGGTCAATATTTTTCACCTTTTTAAATAGGTTTAATAAAATTATCAAGAAATTTAATCAACAAGGGTAATTTTTGATTTTCCTTTTTGGGATACCTACGTATTTATAATATAACTGAATAAAAATAGAGGCATTGGTGAGAAAAGTCTTTAATTTCTAAAATATTTTTACATCATTTCGGTCGAATTCATTTTAAAATTTTTATATTAATCGTAAAAATTTAACTTTACCTTATAATGGAAAAAATCAAAACAGTCTAGGAAAGCATGTTAAATAGAAAGAGAAAAAAAAAGAAATTGTGTACTTATAATGTGAAAATAATAGAATACCCCGAAAAAAGAAAACCAACAGGACCATTTAGAAATAGGATCATAAAATTTATTTTAAATATTCACTTTATTACCTGTTTTAATACCCAAGTTATATAATATTTTATACCCTTATATTTTTGGGTAATTTTATCAGATTGATTTTTCAAATATTGGAAAAATTGAGTCATAAAATCTGAAGGAAATTCAATATTTCCTTTTCGATATTGGTTTAATTTAAATTCGTAACATGAATTCTGTTTCTATTATTACACAAGAAAAACTACTATAAATTTAGAAATAATAAAATACTTGAAAAATCAATATGGTGTTGAGAATTTCAATGATTTTAAAAATTAAAAAAATTAAAAAAATAGAAACTATTTTTATTTTTACCTTAATTGGTTGATCGGATATAAAACTTTCATCGCTGCTCGAATAACTCGATGATGAATATCGACGTATAAAATTTCGTTGCTTATGTGATCTTCGAGAACGTTTTTGTGGTACATTAAAACTGCTTTCATTTAATCCACTATCGTTTCTGTTATTATTAATATTATTGTTATTTATATTTGCTGGTGGACTTCGACATCTTCGGTTCGGTATATTTGATCTTCTTATTGGTATTCTTGAACGAAATGATGCTGATTTTCGTAATTGTGACATCTTGTAAATATCATTTTTGTTCTATAGACATTAAAAAATCATTGAATGATCGTATTTATAAGCAATGTTTTTCTGAAAATGAAAAGAGAATGAAAGTTTTTAGTTTTAATTTCAACTAAATCAAAATTAATTTAATACAGATTATCACAATACATTTTAAATAATTTTATTTATACGCTATTCATTAAGAATGAAAATAGTCTTTAATTTTAATTTTAAATAAAGATTTTTTATTAAGAAAGTTTCAATTTAAAAGTGATTTTAATTTGCTAAAAACAACTTTATTTAAAGATTATGGAATAATTTTTTTACGTTTTTGCAACAATAGCAAAATTTTTCAAAAAAGTTCTTTAAAACTTTTATTCTATTGTAAAATAAATTCAATAGAAATATAGAAAGACTTTTCTACTTCTCAAAAAGCAATTTTTCAAATAAATTTAGTAAAAGAACAGAGCAAACAAGAAAAGAAAACAAATCAAAAGAAATTTGAATATTGAAATTCATTTAGAAAATTTGTAAATTTAGATCGTGAAACAACAAGCAAAAATATTCAGAAAATATTCACAAAATTTAAAGCTAAATTTAGTTTTATTTCAGCATAAAGCATTATGAATTTAAATAAAGATAAAACTTTAAATATGTAAATTCATTGTGTTGCAGTAGGCTCGTCACCTATTTAGTAAACTCAATGACATAAGAAACTGATTCATAACCAGAAGCAAACTAGGATAAAAAAAAAGTTCATTGTGCACGCCAGGAAACCCGAATTTTCAAAAATAATTTTTCAAAACTCCTTTACACTTTAACTAGGTGACTAAGACTAGTTTAATTTAATGAAATTTTGAACCGAAAATAAATTCTGGCGTGAGTTAAGAAGCATTTATTATAATATTACTTTACATAATAAAATGTAAACACTGCTTGAAAACAAGGAACTACTAATTAACTAATAAATTTATTGGAAATAATTTTTTTGTCTTTCATCTAGTAGACGTGTCCTTTGAAAACAAAATAAATGTTTTTGCAATAATGATAATATCTGTTACTCGTTTTCTATGTAAATCACCTTATTATGCTATTACATGAAAAATTATTGAATTTATAGGAGTATACTCAATCTTCAACAAGAGTTTTGTTGAAATTTTAAGTCTCTTAAATTCACAGGTTCAATATTATTTTTATCATAAAATTCCGCTTATGTTCTTGCTACTTTGATTTAAAATACCAAAGAACGTAATTATCTAAGAAACTGCGTTATTTTAGTGTAAAAAAGGAAAAATTTTCCTTTTGTATAAATTTCTTGAATCTTAGTTTTGTTATTCAATATTATTATTTCCATAAAATAAGGATGAAATAACAATGATATTGATGACTCTGATTTCATATTAAAATTAATAAAATTTATACAAATGCATAATGAAGTCAAAATATTTATAAAATAAAATTTTTTTCCCTCAAATATAAATATTTACATATACAATAAAAGTTTTTCTTTTTAAAATGAATTTATAAAATAAAAAATTCAAGGATAACGCTATGAGCTCTATTTTTTGTCGTCAACATCAATAAGAACGTTTGCGTGTGTTTGATTCATTCGTTTCCATATGGTAGACAAAAACTGTCATACCATAGATATTTCATTATTTTAATAAATTTTTTTTAGAAATTTTTGCTCAAATTTTATAAAAATAAAAATGCAACAATTTCTTTCTTGTTAGAATTTTATAAAAATTCTTCTTTTGGAAAAATGCGCCATGTCTTTGTCACAATGACAAAATTATGAAAATTAATTTTTTTCATTAAGTATTTGGAAGACATTTTTTGATATCACATTTTTTATACCTTTTTTTGTGAAGCTAAAACTGATACATATAGTATGACTTACAGCAATTATACGCTGTTTAAATATTCTTTATAGTGTTATACGAACTAATAGTTTTCTAATAATATAAAATCGAAGCAAATTTATCATTTAAATTGTATAACAGTTTATAAATTTTTAAAATTTTTGAAATTATATGTTGAACATTTGATGAATAGAGTTGATAATAAATACTGACAAAAAACCCTTTGATATCTTGCATTGGTGCTATTTACCTTATAAAGTAGAAGTTTTGCAAAAATATTTTATAACTATTATTATCGAAATCAAAATCTATGAGTCTTAGAATGATTAGATAGTTAATGATTAAAAATTTTTGCTTAATACTGAATTAAAATTTTTTAAAAATAATAATACTGATTTTGATTTGATTACGCATTTATTAAAATTTGAAGAATTCATTTTAATTTCTTTAAGTTGCAATAATTATTATATATGTTATTAAAATGAAGAAACTATCTCAGAAATTCAGATATGCGTGCAAGAATACGTCCGTAAAGTCTATGCACACTGCAGAATATATTTTTGGAATTACTTTCAGTGTCTTATATCTTATTAACCTCATACAGCATACAAAATACAAAAAAATATAAACTTATTTTATAGTCATAACACATTTAAAGATTTTTACATGCTAAAATTTATTTAATACATGTACATACAAAATCAAAAATATTTTTCTAACTGTTTCGAAAATCAATTCAAAAGTCTAACATATTTTCTTTTGGGGGAAAACTTTATAAAAATAACAAACGGGAATAAAATTTCAAACTTTTTCTTGTTTTTCTTAAGTTTCTGTTTTATTTTCCCACAAGGGTTTTTGCAATCCCTCTCCTTTTTATGATATACATACACACTTCCATATGCAATCATATAAAAATTTATAGTATAACGTACAATTGCATTTTCTTGATGTTTTAAGTATATTGCAATTTTTCAATAAAACTTTCTTCATAGTATTTCTGTAAACTTATCATTGTTTTTGTTTTCTTTTATTTTTTATTTATATACGCTCAAAAATATCGCTTGAAGGTTGAATACTGTTGTCTTGTATAATTTTGTATAGTGTGTAAGATATATGAATGTATGTAATTAATCTTAATGAAATTTGACGTGCGAATATTTTCCCTATTCTCGTATGGTATTATGGTTTAAAAAGTTTTCAAATAAATTTTATTTTTTTTTATTATTTATTTTTAGTTATTTGGTTTTTTAAATCATCTTAAGTTTTATGACAAAAATATACCAAAAATTGTTCAAGAATTCCATTAGAAAATTAAATGGAATATAGTATCGACATTTTGTATACCGAAATTATTTTACGATGCATAAAAGCTTCTCTATTATTATTATGACATTTTGATATTACGTTATGTATATGAGGAAAAGAGAGCAATGATTATATTACTGAGCGAGCATAAAATCATATTATTGTCAGTAATGTCTAATATTTTAAAATTAAGTTTTAAAATTTACTATATTTCGTTCAGCGGCAAAATATTCAAAACAAAATACTCGTAACAGGAATTTTCCAAAAATTTTCATTTCGCTTTTATGATTTGTAAAGTTTATGAAAAATTATTTATTGAATTTTATTTTATTTGGGAACATATTGGTAAGCAATTTTCAACCGTACAAAATTCACATTCAACTGAAAGCTCATAAATAAATTAACTAAAATATTTTTGTTTAGCCAAAGATTATAGAAAAGAAAAGTGAGTAATTGTACAAATTTATCAAAGGATTTGACATTTTTGTTATACCACCTGCATATATAACTTTGGTATGGTGTTTATAATCATTTGAAGGACTCATCTGCGGTATAGACATGTATTCTTACTCAGCGCAAAATTCTGCGTTGAATTAGATATGTGTGTCAGTCCGTCCGTCCGACCGATCACATGATAATTCAAAAACGAATAAATTCCACAAAACTTTCATAGGTTGTTTCTTTATGCCAAGGAGCTATTTATGTTATTGTAACTGAACTGATTTAGGCAACGGGATCGGGTAGCAGCCATACAACTCAAAGAGATTATTTTAAATATTTTAAAAACTAAGCGGTATAAATATGAAATTTTGTTTACGTAAAACGCAAAAGTTAATTTTAAATATTCAGCAAAATAATGGGGTTAGGGTCATGAAACTTGGCAATCATGGCCCCAGTTATAAGTCAGACATATCCTTCAAGTTTTTGTGATATGGTTTGACAGGTTTGAGTAACTGCCATCAAATCATGAAAGTTAATTGTAGATGTTTTAAAAATAAGTTTTTATAATCAGATTGTCAAGGTGCAGGGTATAATTCAATCGTTTTAGATCACGCCACCAACTTAGATTGAATAATACGTCTTAACAACTTTTTGACTTATGCCAGAATATTTGGTATTGGATAGAAGTTTAAGACCCATCTTAACCGAATACAGTGTTGAACAATTAGTGGACGTCATTTATGTATTACGAATGATATAAATTTAAATATTTTATTCTACGTTCTAATCATTTAGTTACTTAGGGATTAGTATCTACAATACTTATGTTATATAAGTTTTAATTGCACAAAACGTAACTGCAGTTAAATTTTAAGTTGAATTTTTATTGAAATTGGTTATTGGTTTCGGACAAATTGAAGAAAGAATGGGAAAATTTGTATTTCAAAACCATAATTGTGTATTTTATGCGAAAACACAATTTTCTTAATATTAATTTAAAAATTTGAAAAAATAAATTGATAAAATATTTTCTTTTTTTCAAAGTTAGTATTATTTAAAGTTTAGCATTTCCTAAGTTACCTGAGGTTTCATAATTCAATACACGAATACAGTATGAACAAATATACACCCGTTCAAACTATTCAATACAATTCGTGTAGATACCCTTTTCTGCTTTTATTTCTCGTTGCTGTTCGACCATTTGTATTTCTCATGCCTCGATTATTTTATACCACATGAGTTGACTGAAAACATGAAAACATAAATTTATTACAAAAGTTTTCAATCAATTCAATAGAATATAAGAGTGGAATACACACGTACATACAAAAAATTATATTTAAAAAAACAATTTTTTTTTATTTGTGTATAAAAGTTTTCGAAAAGTTTTATACTATTTTTTGAAAAAATAAAAATTGCTATTTTTTACTTAGTAAAAATTCTTAGTAAAGAAATAATTAAATGGGAAGTGAAATACAGTAACAAATTGCGTATTTTATAAAATATAGATGGCGCTCTGGTTGCTCTGAAAAATATACTATGGTATTTGACAGAAATAACTAATAATACTGTCAACTCCTGATGACATTGCAAAAATTAACAAATTTTTATTATGAAAAACTATACAATACGCAGGCTTTTCTTGCCCAATGTTAAATGACTGACTTTAGCAATGTTTCAGGTAGGTATAAAAAAAATAATATGAACAGCTTTAATAGTTGTATTCTGTATAAGTAGTTGTTTTTAAATATTATATAATTAAATATTATAGAAAAGGCAGAAAAATGTGTGTTAAAAGAAATTTTTTTATTAAAATTCTGATAAGTGATAAGTCAGTAGAAAGTCACTATTGAGTTAATACCACTTATAGAATTAGTGTTTTTAAACTTTTGTATTGTTTTGAGTCCCCAAAAGTCAAAATTGTTTTATCTTCTAGGTTTCCAAATTCCGTCAAAATCAGGTCCATTTGTCAAAATCATACAAGTAAAACTAAGCCATTTAACAAACATTGATCTTAAGGTTTTTATTATTAGGTAGCTTAACAGATCCTCTGATACAACCGAAACGAAATTTCGATTCAAATTTTAAAAATACACATTGGATTGCCAATCAATTTGAATACAAATATTTAAGTATATAGTGTATAAAAATTGTATTCGCTTTTCCAAATGAAAGAAGAATCCAGCAATATGTTCAAAAAAATTATGAACACGGTTATTGCATTCAATAGCCTAACATCTGAATTCTGTTAGTCAGCAAAGTTAACAGAAATTTTCTCTTTTTAATTTTACAAATTTTGTTTTAAACTCTTTTTCTATAACTATAACAAAAATTTATTTTTGTTAAAAGTTATTTGCAAAAAGTTCCTGATTTTCTTTCCTTTTTAATGATAGGAATACGCTCTCTTAGGGTTATTAAAATTTCAATAACTCAAATGCAAAAATTTTCTTTAAATATTTTATTTTTTAAAAAGATTTAATTAAGTTATGTATAGAATAAAAAGTTTTTTTTTTTACTAAAAAATTTATTAATTTTATTACATGAGAAGTTTTCTAAGATTTTGTATTGCCTGCAACTTACCATTATATTCTTTTAATGTTGTTGTAAAAAAATCAGAACTTTTTAACAAAATTTATTGGAGGCATCAAAAATACTTATTGAATGAATAATGTTGTTAATTTAAAATCTTTATAAAATTCAAAAATTTTAATGATTTAAATTAAAAAAATCTGAATTTCTCATGATTTTTCAATATTATTCTGTAATTAAAATGGAATTATGGAAAAAATTGTAATTAGATTTCAGTACTGAATTGATTTTTAATTGCAACAAAAATTGCATTTCCATTTTATCTCTACAATTATATTTATAATACGTTTCAAATACAGCATTAGAAGCAACAACAATATTACAATAGTCGTACGTATTATTGATTTATTGGTAATCAACACCGGTGAGTAACTTACCAAGTTAGCTTTTTCCACTTAGTGACTCATTACTAAGTGGAATAGCTAGGAACCAAATAAGAAGTGAATTTGGCGAAATGACTGTTATATAAATCTATAAACTTATAAAGGATACAAAACCAAGATGTCAATTTCTTTTTCTGTCATTCAAAACTTCTGTAAAGTAAGGGAGACCCTGTGATCTGCGAAAATGCGCTTGTCCATGCCAGGAAAGATGTCTGTTCGTTCATCTATCCCTTTGCCATTTGTCTTTCTTCACACTTCTGTTCCTGTATCTCAAGCTCGGTTAAATCGATTTAAATAAAAATTTATATCTGACTTTATTTTGACTTTGTCACGCATTGATAAATTTTTTTTGCGTATTTCAGGACTCAACAACTGTATGACAGAAAACAGTAATAATACAAAAACCACGTAGCTTTTCAAAGAAATCAGGTGACAGCAGCTGAACTTTTATTACAGACTGAATATGCATTTTTACGCACTATAAATAAATATTTTATCCATTTGTTTAGTCCACAAATGAGCGAGAAAATTCATTTGGAAAATCAAGACTCGCAAAAAAAACTGTAGCTTAATTTTACATTTTTGATTATACCTAGGAAATTAATAGTGAAACTTCTTGAAATTTAGTATTTAAATTTTATTTACAAATAAAACAAGCCCAATAACTCTTGAAGAATTGAATCACAGGAAGTAGATTTACTTACATTTTTGAATGTATATAGGTTCTTTGAAAAGAGGAGAATTTTTCACAATATTTTCCAATGTTTTCATGAAACTATTAACAATTAATTAACAAAGATATTGTAATATCATTCATAGAATAAATTTAAATCAGTTACCTGTTGTTCATAACAATTATATTCATTCCTGTTGTCGAATAATTTAAGGAATATAAAAATGTAATGAAATTTATTGATATCTTAATATTTTTTTACACACTATGTACTTACATTATAAAATTAACAAATTACATAATGTAATTCATCCTCATATACAACAAATTAAATATCAAAAAAAAAATAATGAAAAATCTACAAAAATAAAATAAGAAGAAAACAAAATGCTTTTATTTCAAAAAATTTCAAATTTCAATAAACTTCCGACAAAATTCAATCAATAAATGGAATTATGAGTAAAAAAAAAACAATTTTTAAATCTAATATAATGCAAGTATAAAGAACCACAAATAGGTTTTATTTTTTTTGTGTAGAAATAAAGTTATTTAATTCTTGTGAAATTTATGGAAATTTAATTTCCCCACATAACATGTTTCCTGTTATATACTTATCTGCAATACAAAATGTGTGTGTGTACATATGTATATTAATTTTTTTCTGGAATAAAAATTGCTTTCCACAAAATAACTTTATAAATAATTTCTTGTTATCCTTATTTACCTTGGTAAACATAAAGAAATTCTAAAAGAAAAAATTCGTCTGTTTCAAAACAACAAAAAAAAACTATAAAAAACATTTTTTTCTCTCCAAAAAAATGTTTTTTTTTGTTCCTTTCTTTGTTACTATACTTATGTTATTCCACGAATTTTAGAAAATTGGTATGCTAATATGAAAATTTGCGACAAATCTTTCAAACGAATAATAGGAAAATGAAGAAAAAAAATGAAACTCCTGTAAAAAAAAATTTTTTTTTTGTCGTAAAAATCTCAGCAGTTTTTGAGAAAAGAAAAAAAAAGGTTTTGGGGGTTGTTTATAATACGAAATTTCATTGGAAAAAAAGTTTTGTAAATTTTCCAAAATTTATTTTAAGAAAAGGAAAAAGAAGAAGTAGAAAAAGTATCAATATTTTTTTTAATTTTAAAAACATATTTCAAGGTTAAATTTTGGCTTATTTACAAAACATTTTCCAATTTGAATAGGAAATGCTCGTGTACCAATAACAATTTCTCATACTAAACTCGAGCTCATTTAAATTACACAATTCATTTCATACAACATAAATTTGTATTTTATTTCGCAAAACCTAAAAGTTCAAAAGTCAACAAAATGGATAATTTTAAATTGTCTTACAATTAGAAACACTTACATGGGAATACCTAATAAACGTACCTGTTATATTGCGATTTTCTTCAATGAAATTAAATTAAAAAATCTCTAAAATATCTTAAGATCTAGAACTTCTCCAAATAAAACATGAAAAGTAAAATTTAATGATTAGGTAAATATAAATAGATTTGAGTCTTATACTGCACCTAGCCCTTTTACTTGTACTTTTAATTTTTTACGATTGAAAAAAGGGCTTTTTTATACGATTTAAAAAACGACTTTTTTAGTTCTTAGTGTGGCGACTCTTGGAGCAACAAAAGCTTTGTAAACTTTTTGATTAAAAACGGGCTGTTCCAGTAGGACCCAACGATACAAAAGATTGTTCAAAATTCAAATTAATAACACTAATTTCGTCTGAAATTTACAATAGAAAATTGGAAGTCAATACCAAATAACAAATGATTTTTATTTTTTGCTATTGTTAATTTTATTTTTCCCAATTCAGTAGTAACATCTTTAGATCTAAATATTATATTTTCTAAATCAAAAACTATGAAATATCTTGGAATAGATTTGTAAGTCAAATTCTAAAGAAACCTTTAAAAAAATTGTAAAAAATTATAAAAGATTTACCTAGTAAGTTTCTATTTCACACAAACAAAAAAACTTATTTAAAACTATATGAATCACATTTTAACATATTTTTAAATTTTCTTTGTACTGTACAACGCACTACACCTGAGTTCATTCCAAATTTACAACATTAAATTCGAAGGGAAATTTCTACCAATACAATAAACTATGTAAACATATACCTGAACAATATAGAATTTAATTCACGTATAGAACTTTTTAAAATTTAATAATTTTCTAGTTCAATTTACACGTACCTACTCGTATAATGTCGTGGATTTTTGACCATAGCTATAAAATTTCAATTGAATTTTTTTTAATATCTTATTTAAATTTAAAAGAACGTTTAATGAGGTGTAAATTAGAATAATATTCCAAATTTAATATTTTATTTTAATATTTACATAATAATTTGACAATAACATATTATATACATATATATATACATATTATGTATAAATATTTCTGTATTGTGAGAGTAAATACAAGGAATTCGAATTTATTCATTTTACAGGATCGAATATTCAAAG